TTTTTTTTGAAATGTTAATTAAGGTGTCCACTTACATATTCGGTTAATAATTTTTATTTGCTTAAAGAAAATTACTTTGTTACAATATAATATTCTAATATCAAAAAAAGTACTTACGTCGCGCGAAAATATCTTTTGTGACTTAACTCTTTCAAAAGTATATAAAAATGGTTGCCAGCAGGGATGTACATGTAGATTTATTAAATGCACCTTGTGCGCCTCCTAGGAACCAAATCTTGAACCCGACCCTCGAAATTTTTGCTCTGTTACAATCGTACCCTGTTACAATTGACCCCACTCTCCCCTACAGTTAAAGTGTCAGGAAAATGTTTACCTGTTTTATTGATTGGCTTACAACTATTGGAATATTTCTGGTGGACTTAGAAGACTATCTTAAGTTGTCGCCGTGTTCTATTAAAATATTTACAGCAAATTTACTTTTACTCATTCTGGTCTACCAACCTATATGTTTTTGGGAAAATTTTCTTCTTTTGATGTCTAAGTTAAAGTTTTACAGTAAGATTATTTGTTTTGCTTTGATTTTGATTCTTTAGTAGACGGTTAAGATTTTACTTTAATTTAATAATATTGTTTTCAATTTTACAACTAGATATTATGATTTTACAAGCCGTAGTAATCAAAATATCTTATTTCATCCAAAAAGCAACTAAAATTATCACAATTCTTTCACCTCTATATACTGTACACCTAGTTGAAAAAATTTAATGAAAACAAGCAATAGAAAAAAGTGTTAAAAAAATAGCATGCTATTAATGTTTGAAATAGTAGTTTTAAACAGCGCAAGTGCAAAAATAATATTTTTTACCATAAGTTATGAAGAAATTCAATTTGAAATAGTTAAAATTTCGAACGTTATTTGCCAATCAGTAAAGTATTTTCTGGAGTTTTCAAAAAAGAATTTGAATAAAAGAGGAGTCTGCTTGCGATATCACATATGCAAAAATTGCACTGTAAAAAATTTTCAAAAAAGTTTCAATTATTATTAAATTAAATAATTATTAAAGTTTATTTCAAAAAAAAATTTTTTTTATTCTGTGCTAATATTTTCTGATTCGCTTAAATAGTTCCAAGCTATGTCGATGTATACAAAAAGTACAATTAACAGTAAGATGCTCAAGGGCTTTCTTAGTTACACTGTTAGGACCAAATTGTGGCTACATCTTGCAACTTGAGTCAAATATCCGAATCCATCGTAAACACAAATGTGCTCTAGCAAGTATAGTAAAAGTTCGTTATAACGACAATTCGTAATAGCAGTTGAAATTGCAGTATAGCTTTTGCTTATAAACTAATGCACACATTTAAAATTAAAATAACAAAAACAATATTCAGAATGAAATATACATTAATATTCATTATGAACAACTATTTCAATTTAAAATAAATATCTAGTGCACACTGCTTTTATCTATACCAATTGTAGACTGAGTAACGAAGCTATGTACTTCATAAAAGACAGAAATTTCTTCTATGTACTTCATAAAAGACAGAAATATTTGAACAAGTTTCCAAATCGTACCAAGGATCAAGAAGAAAATAGAAGAAAGTTCAATATCTTTTGATGTCATTGATAACAGTGAATGTTGATTTCAATGGGGTGTATAAGGGAGCATATGAAGTCCACAAAAGGTGTATTCTTTTGAAATTCATGGCAGGAATTTTAAAAATAGCGATAGAATTTTTCTTTTGTTAGCAAGTAGATAACCGGAGGCTGTACGTACACTGCTTTTATAATACAGGGGCTTACAATTGTGAGAAAGAAACGATAATCGTTTTTCGCTTTTCTATACTGATACCAAAAACAAATAAAAATTTCTTCCATTTATACCTTTTTCTTAAAATATTATTCCCTTAAGCAACAGAGAAACGTATTTCCATTAAAAAAAAAAAAAACAAATTTGTGGTAAATGTGAATTGTGAAAATTTTAAACTCGTTATAAGCAGACAATTTTAGTGTTTTTAATATTAGGATATTACAGTTCCTTAGAAATTTGTAATAGCGGATTTCTCGTAGTATGCCGTATTTGTTATATCGAGATTTTACTCTGTGTTTTTATAAGATTTCATAATTAACTTATCACCTGCAGCGTTCAATTAGCTTAAAAGTCTGCCTTTTGAACATTTGAGTTGTGTGTAAAAATCCGATTATTTGATCATAAAATATTTAAAATGCCTATTTTTTCCATTTTGTTTCAAACTTTCCGCAGCGAGATTTTGTACCAAGAGTCTTTTTTTTTTATAGGATAGCTAAATTAGGTAACTTTTTGCTGAATTCCAAAATCACCGTTGCAAAAAAGGGAAACTAAATGAAGGAGAAAAAGAAAGAGTAAATAAAACTTAATTATTAAGCTTAACTAAATTTGGACATTCTAATAACATTTTCATTAGCATTGACGGTAGACAAAATATGTCTTTTGGGATAAATATGTAACGAGGGACATAAATTACCAAGACAAATTTTAAAAAAGTCAAAATAAGAATACTTCACAAACAATGTCAATACTTCACAAACAAATGCTATCAAGAAATTATAGAGTTGGTTTCTATGGACAAACCACTACAATATTTCTGCTTTAAAAAAAATTAAAATAGGGAAATATTAGGATCTTACCCAAGCAAAGGTAGTACTCCTTCGCCTCTTGTAAGTAACAATAAGCAAATCATTAAACTTTGACCCCTAGGTGCTTCTGGAAAAATCCGTCATTAAACTTGATCGGCCAGAAAAGAAATATTTGGTTAGCTTTTGCAAGCAATGCAAGAATTTATCTTTATAAATCGATACATTTTCTCGAAACCGCAAAAACCAGTGCTCACGATCAATTGTAGCTACGACGATTTGTGCCCGCGTCAAATTTTACTCTCGATGAATTGTACCCACGACGAATTGTACTCGTAAGGAGTAGTGCCCTCGACGAATTGTGTCCGCAACGAATTGTCCCTCCGACAAATTATGCGCGATGAACTATCACAAGATGAATTGTAAGTGACGAATGACAATTTGTTGACAAATTGTCATATCCAAAAAAAGAGGGACACCTTTAGAAATTAATGCTTTACCTAAAACGAGAAACTATCCATTTCGCCAAATTGTATTCTTTTAAAGTTTGTCATTGTATGTAGGCAAGATAATTGTGCTGTAACAAAAAATAAAAATTTAATTGAACCAGATTCGAAATGAAAATCTAAAATATTTGCACTTTTTCATATTTAATTTAACTGATTATGCAATCCAATACTTTTATACAGCAACTATTATAAAGTTCAATCTGTCGTTCAAGTTCGGTATTTAAAAATCTTCAATGCCAACTAAACTACTGTATCATTTCTAGAAGAAAAAAAATAATGCGGCGGAATGATATCACCGCTTCAGTGATGCGATTGCGCATTTTAAATATTTGAAACATCCTAGACGATATCAAAAGAATAAAATCCAATAAAAAGAATAGTTCATCGTCATATTTATATAAGAGAGGTTCTTCTTTACCAATCATTCTCATAACGTTTCTCTTCTCTTACATTTATGCTACAATAATGGATTATTTAAATATTTGGATAGTCGCATTTGCGGTAAGTGCAAAAAATTTCATCTTCTTATCTTTTTATTATCGTAAAACTACAACTCAATTATAAACGTTTCGCTAGTAATTAGTTTTAGTTGTAATATATTTCAATAATTTTTTATGAATAATTAATATTGATTAAGATCTTATCCCTTTATGAATTAATTTATACTTAATAAATCAGAAAAAACCGTGTTAGTTACTGAAATTGAGTTCATATTTTTTTTAATCTTGTCTTATTTATTTCTTCGTTCTATGAAGTATTTTGCTTCGCAAATTTGCAGAGCAGCATAATAGAATAATTGTCAACTCTTTGTTTAACCAATTTAGGCACCTTTGTGTCTTATTAGGAAATGATAAAAACTGGTATCTGGCTCATTTTTTATTTAGAATAAATTATGGCGAACAAGCAATAAGTTTCATGCAAAATAAATTTCTTTATTATCATCTTAAATGTGAATGTGATATTTTTGAAATATTTTTATTTTTAAAGTAAAACAGATATCAACAATAGAAAATATATTAACTTGGTTTAATCACAAAGTTTATGAGTAACCATATTCATAAATTCGATGTCCATGAATACAATACGTTTGCGCAGATGACTATTATATAAATTGTACATCTATATCAATATGATATCTTGATACACATCATATGTATATGTGAATAGTCATATTCATAGACTGCATAGCACATCTTTGAGTAGGAAAATTATCAAATCTTATTACATATCTTTCTGCTACTGAGTAAAAAAGCATTCAAGTTGGCATTGTTTTCTTCTTAGCTTTAACCCTTTCGCTCCGACTGTCACAAATACGTGCCAGCATAAAACTGTATCAACCAGGGTAAAAAGATAAAACTGGTAATCAAAGTAATTCTTTAGCAGTTTATTTGTGGACGGAGTTATAATTGTTTGGTTTATTTAATTCACCATTACTTTGTTCAAAATAAAACTATTTAGTTATACTTTGAATTAATATTGATTATATATATGATTAAACTAACAATAATTAAAGTAAAAGCAAAGTAAGTCTATCAAATTAGCAAAGACTACATTTAAGTTACCGTTTTTTATTTAATTACATCCTGATTCTGATTTTGTACGAATGCTTTTCTGAATCACCGGTCCCCAAGGGGTTAATGAAATAAAGAATTTTGAAATTTATAAGATTTCTTTTTCCTTTGAATCACAAATTGATATACGTTATGATTATCAACAATATGCGTTTGAATCGCATTCAATATTTCAGAATTTCAAAATCGAATTCATTTCTTCAGATTTCTTTATAACTAACCTCGCTGAACAATATCAAATTTACCAAGACTGAAAATGTAGGAAAACAAGAAAAAAAACTATTACAACTTTTCCTGCCTTAAATTGCTTGCTGTTTAAACATGGTTTTATATTTTATTTTAAAACTGGCGTTGAACCTTGGAATTTTGAACCAACCCAAAAGACAAGATGACTAATTGATTAATTATTCGAACAAACTAGCTGACTTCTTTGATGGAACTAGCCAGCATTTGCATTACATGAAAATGAAAAACACGAAAACCTCCAATGGTTAGTATGACGGCAAGAGGATTCTTACCCATGATCCGTCTACCACTGAGGATATTTTACGTCAGCACTGTAATCGGTGCAAGCCGAGAGCCGAAGTCGTATCAACCAGTCACTGCTCGGATTCGAACCTGGGTCACCTCATTGGAAGGCGCACGCACTATCCCCTGAGCGACTGCGTCTGTATTAAGCGATTTTGTTACTATTAATAGATAATAAATAGGAAGATAATAGATAAATATAAATAATAAACGTTTAATTACATGGAACATCTTTATAAAATTCCACTATTTTAACACACACGCCTAAGGGCTATAATTGTAAATAGCGCTTGTTTTAATGATCGCAAAATATGAACAGTATACCCTTAATAATTCTTAATCAAAGAATAGGATCTTTATTTTCTATGACTCTTTCCTAATTATTCAAAGAGATAACCTCAAATATGCTAATTAATTAGTACAAATGATATTTTAAGTTACAAAATCAAGCACTAAAACATACTTTCTTTTAATGAACCTAGCTTTTTTTTTTTGACGGATTCGGATTTCTATCCCCTAAATTATAGGGTGTGGAGGCAATCTGCGAAATATTGTACAAATAGGTGGGTCCAAATTTAGGACTCCTTAATGTTAGTTTTACTTTTTGCGTATTTTGTCCTAAATCGAGAAATTTTCAAGCGAATTGAATAATTTTTGTATACAGTTATAAAATCCTTTTATTCAGAGATAATTCCATTTGAAAAATAACTCTTAATAAATATTTATCATTTTTTATAAATTTATTTAAGACTAATTAAAAAAAAGTTTGAATTGTAAGATACACAATTTTCTACATCATTTGTAAGAATATAATTTAATGTGTTAAAATACAAAGTTTTGAATAAAATCGATCATCAAGTTCCTGAGAAATCGAATTTTTAAAACACGACATTTTTTATTCCATATTCTAAAATGTCTCTCAAAAATAAATGCTATATTTATCTTAATATAGCATAGCATTAATATGCAATTGCCTGCCTGAAAGATAACACTGCGAATTTCTTTGGATACGAGAGCAGCTCACCCCAGCCGAAAAAGACAGTCCAAATCTCCAGTCTTAACTAAATCTTCAGCTCATAGATTAGTCTTCATGATCAAAGAGCTCCAACATCACCAAGAATGAAGAAGTCTTAAAGCTTCTTTATAACATCATTCGGGAAAATTTTCCCAGAAAAGTCCTCCTTCACAGCATGCCAATCAACTTTTCTAGATTGGACTTTATTTGGAAGAATTCATCGTCCATTATTAACGATGTACTGAGTTTACTTACATTTACTTAGTAAATAGCCCATCTAGACAAGGTATGATTGTGGCAATGTGGTCAGCACTGATCACATGCCACTTTCACTTCCCAAACAAGCTGTTACCCATCAATGACAAGCTGGGTGGGATTCAAGTCGCCACTGGGTATCGAACCAGTGCTCTTCTCAATGACTGCCCAGTGCACATAAGCAAAAACAAATGTTAAATTTAAAAGAGTATTTTCTATCTGCTGAAGTAAAATACAGAAAGGAAAGTCTTATCATCCAATGTGCATACTTTGCGGAATAGGGCGAAGTTCAGTTGGCATCACTTTAGTGGAGTTCAGAAACGAAAGAGTTAAGGATTAAAAGCAAAATCAGATGTAAAACTCCACTAAAATAAGTCTTTAGCTATAAGAAAGTGTAGAATTAAAACGTTTAAATAAATATCACAAATTTTCTAATCGAATTTTTAAATAACTTGGCATTGAAAAATGAATTGGTTACTCTGCTTATTTTTAAAAATATAGTAAAAATTTTCAAATATGGGTTATAAAATATACTGAATTTATCTGGAGTTTTCTCGAAGTAATAATTAATTGCAATTTATACAAACCCCAAACGACATGGGATAATCAGGAAAAGGATTAAATAATTGCTCCATATCTCCCTTAATATACTTAAATATTTAAATGCACATTTTAAAACTTATCCGAAGATCTCAGATTTATACAGAAATGTATTGATTTTCAAATAAATTGTTGACTTAAGTTTTACTTCTTTTCTCTTTTCATAGATCGTATCAGCCTGGGGAAATTTTGATGAAGTCAAAGGACAAGTTTTATCACAAATTGAATTTGGAACCAAAATAAATGAGGTAAGATAATAGACATGCAGATATGCCAACTTGCACCACTTAGTGGAAATAATTTTTATAGTGGTAGAAAAATTTATGTTAATTCCTGGCTTAGAAAATTTGATTAACTGTAGTGTTGCTTACCACTAGATTTAAATTATTCAAATATTTTTATGACTCTCCAGTTTTTTTTTTTTTTTCATTTTCAACTTCGTAAATATTGTTTTTTTATTACTCGGAATTTCTTGTTATCGTTCGTGTAAATATTATTTAATATTAATCGGATAATTTTTTTATTGTAAATAGTTCTTCAAATTGTACTTTCAAATTAAATATAATTCTTTCATTGGCTATGGCAAATAAGTCCGTTGAAGAAGCAAGTGCAGTAAAGCAGATACCTCGAAAATAACACTCACATTAAAGCATTAAAGGATTAACCATTTTTTTTTTATTAAAATATTCTAATGAGTTGTAAGTTTTGGATTTGAATTCTTTGCCACTTTATGGTATTTTTTGTCGAGAGCGGAGCAATTGGCATGCCATAATATATAAATTTGTATTTTGAACATGAGTAAAATAATGCAACACTGTATAATTTTGTCTGAGCCATACATCTGAAATATAATTGAATGTACCAAATAGTCCACGAGATAAATAATTTAAAAAAAATTGTATCTCTAAAAGTAATTTAAAAATATAGTTGGAGGAAATTTAATTCGACAAGAACATAAAGAAATTTGGTTTTTCATTCCAGGATTAGCAATTTGATATATTTGATATTTGATAGATTGTTTTATTTTTACATAAAATTTATTCTTTAATTAGAGGGTTCAAAAAATGGAAAAAATGTAAGAAAATACGTATATAATTAAATATGAGAGAAATAAAATTGAAAAAGAATGAGAATAAACAAATAAGTTACGAGACTATATATGGAATGGGAAACTGAATTTCAATTTTTATTTGTTTTTTAATTATTGTAAAATTCAGAAAACATTCTAGAGCTTAATTACTTAGAATATTGACTAACAATATTGGATAATAATAAACTTATAATATTGGATATTGGACAATGATAAACTTGTTAATTAATAAACTAAGTACCTTCTCTACTTTCAAACAATTCCACATCAGTAAAACGGTATTTAGGAATAATAAAATGGCATCGCGATACTAAGTAAAACCGCATGCAACGCCACCAAGAAGAAAATTGCTGAAATATCGTCTCTACCTGGAGAACGGTACAAAAAAGGCTAAAATTGCTTTATAAAATTATAGAGTGTTATAGACCTATTAAGCCATTTTTTTAAAAGTATCTAGAATAAACTGGATATTAACCGAAATGCATTAATTTCTATATTTTTATTTTGACCTGTAGTTTGTGTTATTGCACTTTATTTAATTCAGAAGAAAAACATATTCTATTTCATTGAAAAGATTTATAATGTTGATTAAGAGATTATTTTGTTGATAAAAAGATTATTATGTTGATTATAGAAGCAAATAATTCAGCATTTATTGAGTTCTCGTATTTTTTTTACAGAAAAAACAATATAAGCTGCCTACTCTGACAGACATTGGAAATTTGAATGCATTAATGAGGTTAGACAACATCAAGAAATCAACTACGAAGATGAGTATTAAAGGTGAAGCCAAAAATAAGCATAACCTCCTAGAAGAAGATGATTACGCGGATAGTGTGTATTCTTCCTTCCCGAACCTTCGGGACTCCTCATCAGATTCTTCATCTCTTCGTTACGGAACCAGATTAAAATCTAAACTTGTAAATGTCAATTCAAACAAACAGAAAAAGGTAACAAAATCATCTAAACATAATTTTAATATCACTGATACCCGTGGAGCGGAAAGAAAAATTCAAAAACTTTCAGTCCCTCCACTCACAACATTTAAAAATTATTTACCGAAAACAGAATTGAAAGATCAAGAAAATTTAGAAAGCTCGAAATTACAACCAAGTGATACGATCAAAACATCAAAGTTCTACAATCATATCAAAAATGAAAGTTCACTACTGGAGAAAGACAGTTCAAAATATGACGCTCCCGTGCTTAATAGTCCTGCATCTTATCATATGTCCACTGTATATAACATATCAAACAATAATGGACAAATTTATTACATGATAAGTTTAAAACAATTAGAAGAAGATAAAAGTAATATTACTGAAAATATAGATTCCGATGAAAACAGACTTTTGAGCATTGTGGAAAACTCGATGAGTCTTATTAATAAAACAACAGACAGACTTCCTGGGACTGAATCTTCCATACTTAAACTAGCAAACAGCAATGAATTCTCAAAAAATAATGATAATGAATACAATAATTCTGTAATTGATAATGCTGATTTTGAAGTTTTTAATGTTATTACCGGTAATATTTTCGATGAACTAGATAGTCCAATAATAATCCCTAGTTTTGAAGAAGATAACTCAACTCAAAATGAAACGGACATACATGAACAATTTATTACGAGCAGTTCACATACTTTTCAAGAATATAAAACTATAACAGAGAAAGACTCAACCGAGAATAATACTCTAAATTCCTCTTTGGTATTAGAAACAATAAACACACAGCCAGGAATTCTTGAAAGCATCTTTAGTTTTGGTGAAGGAAAGCTGTCTGCTTTAAACTCCACGGATGAGTTGAATTCAACAAACAGTGTCATCCATGGGTTAAACACTGAGAGTCGTGAAGAAAAAACAGAAATGGAATCCTCGGCTGATGAAGATACATTGAATTTCTTTGCACATTATTCTATGTCAAGTACAGTTGCACCAACAAATCAAACATCCTTACAATTTAAAAACAAATCTGAAACAACGTTAATCGAATCAACATCGTACAACAACACAACAGCAACAACTAATAATTCAGAATTGATCAACCTCACAACAACAACTGATCATTCAGAATTAAATAATCTAGGTGATTTGACAACAATTGTTAGTTCGACAAAGAGCGATGAGGCATTTACAACCATGTCACCAGAAAAAACAGTAGCAACTCATTTGACAGATAAAAATATTTCATTGTTCAAAAGTCCACGCATCAAAACTATTCCAATTAAAAATTCATTGCTACAACTACTTATTCGAAACGCAATAAACAATAAGCTTCTTTACAAACTGCACAATGGGCCAATCATTATACGGGTATTAAATGTTCAAAATCGCTCGCTACCATCCACAGCAATTCCATTAACCAATGAAACTCAAAATGGGAGGATTAATTTTGTAACTAACATAAACAGGAATATTTCGGGGAATAATTCAACAAACTCCTCAATCTCCGCAGGAAAGTTACCGCTGGAAGTTAAACAGAACTTAAAAGATAGCTCATCTAATTTCTCCATTTCCTTAGGAAAGCAAAATACCGAACAGGACTTTAAAGTCCCTTCATCAAATTATTCAATTTACTCTGAAAAACTTAGTCAAAATATAGAACAGGACTTAATTACCACTTCATCAAATCATTCAATTTCCTCCGTAATTCTGCCTAAAGATATCGAACAGGATTTAAATGCCACGTCATCGAATTCTACAACTTCCTCCGTGATTCTGCCTCAAGATATCGAACAGGATTTAAATACCTCTTCATGGAATTCTACAACTTCCTTAGGAATTTTGCCTCAAGACAACGAACAGGACTTAAAAGCCACTGCATCAAACTCTTCAATTTCCTCGAGAATACTACCTCAAGATACTGAAAACTTAAAAGTCACTTTATTAAATTCCTCAGGAATGCTACCTCAGGAAACTGAACGAGACTTACAAGCTACTTCACATTCACTTAGTGATTTCAGGAACATTAGCTCGAAAACGAACAACATTACTTCGCCTCGTAACATTAATTATAAAGAAAACGCCTCTAAATTAATATTCAATGTATCGAAACATATCCCTGAATTCGCAGAATGGAACAAATCCTCAAATAATTTTGAGGCAAAAAATGTTTTTAAACAAGAATCACATATGATAAAACCATTAGCGAAACAAGCTGTTTCCACTAAAAGAACAAAATCCATTTCAAAGAAGAAAAAATCGTCAAAGAAATCGAAATTTTCAGGTGCCAAAAAGGCTCATTACAACAAAACAGAAAATTCAAAACTTTCGAAGATTCCTCTCAAACAATACAATTTAGATGCTGTCAAACAGGCTAACTTAGTTAATTTTCAAAACTACGAAGATATAAAAACTTTGCTGAATAAATATACTGCTCCGCAATTATTAGACTTAACCCATTTTAAAAATAATACATTTCGCAATAGAAACAATGTGCAAGATTTATATACAAATATAAATGAATCTCCCACACCAATTCAACCACAATCTTTTGATAGAATCGAAAATCCGGGAAACAAGCTTGCTGTTTCATCTGATTCAACAAACGAAAAAACTTTACAGGAAAATAACCCGCTTGATATTCATAATAAAATATCATATGGATCAAATGGAAGCATAAACACTGAGAAGCTCAAAGTATTTCCTGAAAACACCTTAAAAGAAAACTTTCAAAAGAAGAAAAGTTCAAACTTCGAAATTTCTGTTCCTCGTAGAAACGTAAACACTGAATTCTATGATAAAAACGCTGGAAAAACTCAAAGCCATGCTAAAATTATTATTAAAGACTACAAAAATTCCGTCGATAAAAACGATAAACATATTTTTGTAGGGAATAATGATATGGTGACCATGGACGATAACGTATCACCCCATCAATCTATAAATAGCGAAATTTACTATATAGATTTATTTGATCCAAGAGCAAATAACTATGTTTGGAATCTATAACCTTGGTTTAGTTCGAAGAAAGGTGGAGAGTTTTATTTGACTCATTTATAGCTATGAACTTAAGGCAACAGTCTGGTATATTTCAATAACTTTGTATTAAATTCTGTTCCTGAATTTTTTTAAATGTTTGTTTTGTTGAAATCGATGTCTGTTTATTAAAAAGAAAATGACTTAAAATACAACATGCATGATACTAAAGTTTTAATGTATCAATTTCGTTCTTTATTATTGAATAAATTTGTTTATACTTATTGAAAATACAAATCTTTGTTATTCAGTGGTTTAACAATTTAAGACAGTGCTCTGATAAAATTTAAGATGATGGCAAAAAATTATTTAAACGTTTGTTTATTTCTGATAGTATAGATACATTCGTTACTACCACAATTAGGAATAAATTAGGGGAAAATAAAAAATAATATTGCTATACAATTTCTAAAAAAAAAACATTAATAACTGAGATCAGGGGAAAAGTAATTTTTTCTAATACTAGTCACTAGTTTTAATTTTCCGAAATTTAATTTATTTTCCTAAAATGCATGGCCTGAGCTATTATTAATTTTTCACAAGCATTTTGCAGGATGATGTTGAAGACGCTCTCAGTCAAAATATAAAAATAAAATGCTGAGAAATTGACAGAAATACACTATAATGCCAGCCAAATATTACACTTTTTGCAATATATTTTGTATAGTGATAGACATTTAAAAAAACAAGCCTTTCCAGAATATTTCGGTAATTTTTTTAACAATTTAGAAGCCTCCCCACGAAACAGCTAGAACAAAGTGGCGTTGCATATGGACTTTTAAATCATTTAATTCCATTTAATTTTAATGATAGTAAACGAATAAATAAAAACTGCTTACGATTTATTCTTAATCACTGCTGCGTCTTTTATAACAAAAAGAATTATAAATAAGTTTCTAAATACATGATTTCTAAAAAATGCAATAGTAGTTAAAAAGTGAAAGCCTCAACAATTTTCAGTCATTGTTTTGTCAACACTTTACTTCATTTTAAAGGGCAAATATAAGCTCTGGGAATGGAAATGTAGATTGTACTTAAATAAGGTTTTTAAAAAAAATACGAAGATTTTAAGTGAAGTAACAATAATATACCATTAAAAACATTTTATAATGAACATACAAGTAAACTTAGGATAATTCAGTAATTTATGTTTACTAACAAAGCCTTATAATTTTCGCCAAATGTCTAGGTGTTATTTGTTGACTGCACTGATCAACAAAAATTAAGAAATAAAATTCCTTGAAGGGTTTCCTAAACTTAGGAGAAAATTAAAGTAAAATTATAACATCTTACCTGGAAAACACTTTTTAATGAATGTACAGTCGGCAAAAAAAAAGATATCACCGGGAATAAAATCGGATTTTCTCATACTAAGTGTCAATCTTTATGTTTCCTGGGAGTGACCACAAATATGCAAATTATTTAGTGCTAACTATAAATTAAGTTATGAAATTGGACACAAAAGCGTACTTTTTCAGATTAAACATATATATATTTTTTAATACTTGGATTTTTAACCTTCAAAATATAGGGGGGAGTCGCAATCTTTGAAATATTTTCCCCATAGTTTGATCAGGAGAGCGATCCAAGGTTCGGACCATTTAATGTTAATTTCCCTTTCTTCGTTTTTAGCAATATTTTTAAAAGTAATTTAGCAATTCACAAGAAATTGCACTCACTTATAAAACCCATTTACCCTAAGATAATTTCCTGCAAAAAATAATTTATAATAATTATTTTATTATTTTTATTATTTAATTTAACTGTGGATGGAAAAAATTTTGAATTATGAGGTATAAATTTTTATACCATATTAATCTAAATATTTTTCTATTGCAAAATCTAAGTTTCAACAGTTTTTAATAGGTAGAAATCGAAAAATTAATTATTTTTCAAAAGAAATTTGTATATATTATAAGAGAATAAAATTTTCAAACGAAGAACATTTCATTTGGAATTATCCGATTTTATAAAGCAAGTAAGTGTTATGATTTTTATAATAAAAATATTACTTGAAAATACAATACACTCTCGATTATCCGTGTGCGGATTATCCGGTTTGCGGATTATCCGTGCTCATTCCGGAGTCAACAAAAAATTTAAAAAGAAACATTTCAAGATTTAAAAAATTGGATTCATGAAGTTATAACACTACCCAATTTTTGGAAACAATATTCGTTATTGGATTGCAGTTTATGGAATCTCAGCAGCATGGTCAAAGGTAAAATCTTATACTTTATCACGATCGTGGAGAAAGATGATACCTCCTGTTGAACAATCTTCTTTAGATATTCAAGAAGAATATGATAATAGTATTCTTGAACAAGCAAAAGAAATCGAAGGTTTCGAAATTCTTGATGAAGAAAATTTAGAAGATTAGTTTCAAAGGGATGCATGTGAGCCTGGCTTCCAGTATTTGACTGATGAAGACTTCGTTATGTAGTTAAATCAAATAATGATGATAGTAACTGATGCAGAAGATGTAGTAAATGAGGAAAATACAATTTCTCATTCTGCTGCTCTGTGGAAACTTTATTAGTTTATATGAGAGTATTTGATTATGGTGACATTAATGCGGTTCGTAAAATATGTGACAATATATGGCGCATTACACATTTTTTTAAAAGGAAAATTCCTAGTTTGATGTTATACAGCAAGCAAATGTCAGTAATTTTTATATTTTTTGCATTGATATTGATTTTTTCTTTAATAAAATGAGTTTTCGGATTATCCGTGTTTTTCGATTGTCCGTGCGACCTGTCCCGGTGATTAACCCGGATAATCGGGAGTGCACTGTACTT